TGTGCCTTAGAACACTGTACCTGCTGTGTCAGGTGCAGCTCAAAGCTGGGTTTGGAAAACTCCCACACAGTTACAGCTGTCCCTATGAAATGTATAGTTGATTCTGCAGATGTCAGGATTGCACTTCAAAAAAGTGACTCCCTCCCATAGTGCCAATAGAGAAGAGCAAGACAAGGCATGGGCAGCACCTCCCTGATGGAAGGGCAAGGGGCCAGGGGGGCTCCATCCTGAGCTGCCATGCTGGGTGGGCTTGGCAGTGTGGGGTTGATGCCGGGACTTGATGATCTTAAAAGTCTTTTCCAACCTAAGCCATTCTGTGGTTCTGTGGCAGCTGCAGGGAGGGCCAGGGAAGGTGCCAGCTCAGGTGAGTGGCCAGTTCATCTCTCACATTCAGCCTTTCCTGCTGCAGATGTCTCAGCCCCTGTGCACGTGGGAGGCCTGCCTTGTGCAGAGACCCTCCCGTGTCCCTCCTCCTGTGCTCACAGACCGTGGGTACGGTGGGGTGGGAATTGTGCCGTGATTGTCCCCATCCCACAGGACAGTGCAGACATTCCCACAGTGCTGTTGGTGCTGGTTACTGAGGTGAGCCCCTGCACAGGAAGAGTTGGAGCAGGGAAGGAGGGAGATAGCTGGGGCTGCTTCCTCATACCACCTGTGCACAGGACCAGAGCCGTGGTGGCACAAAGCCAGCCCTGGGATTGGTGTGGACAGCAGAGCCTTGGAGCTGCGGAGCAGGAAGCAGCTCCGGGGAGTGACACGCCTGCCCAGGAGCAGAGGCGTTGCCGTCACAGGGAACACCTTGGCCAAACAGGGCACGTTCCTGGGGGTGTGTGCTGCTGCATCAGGGACCTGTGCAGGCTCTGCCCCCAGCTCGGTGGCGTGGGCAGGTACTGTGTTGCCAGCTCATGGCAGTGGTGGTTGGCAGCTCTCGGGAATCAAACAACACGTTACTTTTTTGCTGGTGTATTCCAGTCTCTCCCAGTTTAGACCTCAGTTCCTCTTGTGATTCTTGCTGGAGTACTGGACTAGACCACTGAAATCTGGCCACCAGGAAACGTGTGGTGTCCCAGCCTCCAACCATGCACAGTGCTTGTTCCTTTGTTGGTGACACTGGTGCTCACCAGGCACCGTGTCCCTGCAGGAGGGCTGTGGGGAGAGGCCCTGAGGAGGAGTGAGATGGGCAGGAGGCTTGTGGGGAGTGCTCCCTGCAGAGCCTGGATCAGTAGCCCTGGGACTGAGAGAGTTAGGGAAGAGAAGGCTCCAGGGAGAACTTAGAGCCCCTTCCAGTGTTAACAGGGCTCCAAGAGAGCAGGAGAAGGATTGTGACAGAGTAATTCTGGGGTGATTTTCATTTGCCCAGAGCACTTCTGTGAAGTCCTGAAATACCTCTGAACTTTCTTCAGAATAGGTCCCAGTCAGAAACAAGTGAGCACATCCCGTCCTGCTGGGCTGCCCACGAGAGGGGCACTGGGGCTATTGAAGGGGTTCCCCCCTCACCCCTCTGTTCCCCCTCCCAACATTGCAGAGCTTTGCCTCTGTATTCCACGTCTGGCTTCCCCCCGTCCCTGTGCATTTTCCCAGAAGCCCCTGAGCCTGGATGTTTTCAGGAGTGTGACCCGTGAGCCCGTGTTGCCGTTGCAGGTGCTCCGAGCAGCGTGTCCACGACGACCTCCCGACCACCACCATCATCATGTGCTTCGTGGATGAAGTGTGGTCCACCCTGCTCCGCTCCGTGCACAGTGTCCTCAGCAGGTCCCCTCCACACCTGATTGAGGAAGTCATTTTGGTGGATGACTTCAGCACTAAGGGTAGGTGAAGCTTCTTCTGCCTTTATGAAACTAATATAACTCCAGGGCAAAATGCAATTTGTTCTCTGTAATTCAATTCTGAATAGGAGAGAGAAATCACATTTTCTTCTCGGGCTGTATTGAAGTGCAGCCTGTGCTGGGGGCTGAGGGGGATCAGAGGCCAGGCAGGCACTGGGGGTGGTTGTGGGGAATCAAGGCAGAGGCTGCTGGAGGCACCAGGCTCCAGGAGCACCAGGCAGCTGAGTCCTGCCCAGCCCACCCATCTTCAGGGTGTCTCTGGCTCAAGGGCTTGTGCCCCCCTCTCTGTGCAGCTCCCAGACGAGCCCCCGTGTTCCCAGTGCAGGGGACACACTGCCCAGGCCTCAGAGGACAGAGAGCTGTGGTGGGAGTGGTGGTGAGCCAGCACTGCCATGCCAGTGCCTCTCATTGGCATTTCAGGTGATACCAAACCTCTGAGTTGTGATACCTCAGCTCTCTGCTGACTTCAGCCCTTAAAAATTTAGGAATGATGTAATTTCCCCACCGCTGATTCTTCAGGGGAAGTGCTGTCTCAGATGGACTTCAGAGCTCATGCCATGCACACAGCAAGCCATCAATGCAACAAAAGGCAGCACAGAGGAAAAAGATTCAGTTTGCTAATTTTTAATATAATCGTTATAACACGTTCCTACCATTTCCCCTCAAAAGCATCTTTTCAAGTTCTCTTTACTTTCTTCCTAAGGTTTTACCTTATATGTGCTTGTTAGCCAGGGAACATCTGAAATGCAGGGTTTGCACCCAAAACCTGGGGAGTGCAGGTGACCCAGCCCAGCACTGCTGGAACCCCCAGAGCAGCAGCAGTGGCCCACAGCAAACCTGTCACTAATGCTTCAGCCTTGGAGCCTTTCAAAGCTTTTCAGCTGGCTTTTGGAATGCAAACAAGTCTATTCTCCTGAAGAAAACCAGGGAACACCAAGAAAGCCCATGGGTGAGGGAGGTCTGTGTCCAGACCAAGTGCTTGGAGCAGCTGCAGCCCTGTGGCAGAGCACTGGGATCCTGTGCCCCTGACCAGGGCTACCTGGCACTCCCACCTTCCTCACACCCTCTTTTTCCTGAGAGTTGGCCACGAGCTGCCTCCACAGCCATGGGAAACCATGACAAAAGCACCTGAAAAGTAGAGATGAGGCACAGCAAACCCTTGTGCAGTTTAAACCCTGGATCTTTAGGTGTGATGCTTAATATCGAGAAGTTTGTAGAGCACAAAAAAATAGGTGTTAATTGCAATTATAGTGCATGAAGAAAAAAAACCCTAATTTTTGAGTCTTTGAACAGCCGGGTTTGGATCATGAACTACCCGAGTGAGGCCACAAAGCAGCACACCCTTCACCGAGTACTGGCACACAGGAAATCTCCCACAGAGATTTTCAGGCTCATCACTTCAGCCTAAACCAGCTGGCACTGAAGCAACTGGCTGTTTCCCTGGAGAGCAGGCTGGCACCACAACACTGTGCACCAGAAGCCCTGCAGCTGTGCCCAGATGTTCACATCCCAGTGCTGAGGATCCCGGCGTGTCTGGAGATGCTTCCAGGGAAAACCTGCCTGCTGCTTTTCACCCTGGAAGTGGGTGGAAATGGGTAAGTCAGCCTTGTGCTCTCCTCCTCCTCTGCAGAGTACCTGAAGGAGCAGCTGGACACGTACATGGCGCGGTTCCCAAAAGTGAAGATCCTGCGCCTCAGGGAGAGGCACGGGCTGATCCGGGCCAGGCTGGCGGGAGCAGAGATCGCCAAAGGTAGGACAAGAGCCGTGTTCCAGCTGGTTGGGACCCCCCAGAGGTGCAGGGGAGGTGTCTCCAGCACTGGGTATTAGTCCTTCCCGAGGCACTACAGGTGTCCTTTCATTGGGATTTCTAGCTGATGAAAGATCACCCCAGATCCACCACCTGCCCTGGCCAGGCCATTTCAGCACCAAAGTGGCCATTTCTGTTGGAACCTGCCATGTGAAAACATGCTCTGGGCTGTGGCTGGGAGGGTCTGGGGAGCCAAGGGGGCTCGTGGCACCATTGGCAGCACTCTGAGCCTGCGGGGTGCCCGGGGAGGTTGGTCAGCACGGGTTGGGGTCACGGTGCCCAGGGCCTGATGCTGCCCTGGCCTCTGCACAGGCACAGTCCTGACGTTCCTGGACTCACACGTGGAGTGCAACGTGGGCTGGCTGGAGCCACTGCTGGAGAGGGTCCGACTGCGCCGCACCAAGGTCGCCTGCCCCGTCATCGAGGTCATCAGTGACAAGGACATGAGGTGGGGCATCCCTGGGAATCCCCAAATCCATGCTGGAAGCTCAAGTGAAATCCCTTACTGGGACCACCAGTGTGTTCATTACAGGCAGACATGACCTCAGACCTCCTAACTGGCCTCCAGCAGCATTCCACAGGGGACATGGAACATTGCTGTACACCAGAAATTAGCATTAGCTGTGAACATGGCCCCTGTGATTATCACACACACCTTTTCCCTTCTTCATGACTTTTAGTGCATGAAGAGGATTCCTGATGAAATTTGTTAAAATCCTGGTTTAATTACCTACAGATATTCATCTTCACTCATTAAGGGTGACATTTCAATCAGGAATGTGACTCAGAATAAGTCATCCCGATCTTTTCTCCATTTAGTTACATGACCGTGGACAACTTCCAGCGTGGGGTTTTTACTTGGCCAATGAATTTTGGATGGAGGCAGATTCCACAAGAGGTCATCGAGGCAAATAAAATCAAGGAGACTGATATAATAAGGTAAAAAAGGCAAATGTGAAAGCTTTGCAAACCAGCCTGTTCCTTTGGTAATAATTTAACAGCAAAGGCTCCTTTGAGGCCAAGTGTTTTTCCTTTGCAGCAGAGGCACAGATACACTGTGGGCAATCCCACCAGGCACGGGCAAAGCCCGGGAAGCCTTTCCCCCCACTCACAGCACTGCTGGCGTGTCAGTGATGCTCCCAGGGCTGGGAGAACATTCCACTGCCTTTCTCCTGCCCTGTTGCAGTTTCAGGCTGGGTAAAGCCACCCAAATACCCCCTCTGTCACAACCCACGTGCCTCTCTGTTCCCAGGTGCCCCGTCATGGCAGGTGGCCTGTTCTCCATTGATAAGAAGTATTTTTTTGAGCTGGGAATGTACGACCCAGGACTGGATGTTTGGGGAGGGGAAAATATGGAGATTTCATTCAAGGTAGGTCACTGTCACGTGCCTGCACCCCTTCCTGCCTGGGTGGGTGATGAGGCTCAGGCAGGGGCTCCCCAGGGGCAGCTCCGTGCTGGAGACCCCATCTCCCCTGGCACCTCACTTAGCTTTCTGCTTCTCTCCCGGCTTGCACAAAGCCAGCACCCGTCATCTGCCTGTGTTTCTACCACTGACTTCTGTTTCTCAGGTCTGGATGTGCGGAGGAGAGATCGAGATTGTTCCCTGCTCCAGAGTTGGGCACATTTTCAGGAATGACAATCCTTATTCCTTCCCCAAAGACCGGGTGAGAACAGTGGAGCGGAACCTGGCCCGTGTGGCAGAGGTCTGGCTGGACGAGTACAAGGAGCTCTTCTATGGCCACGCTTACCACTTGGTCTTGAAAAACGTGGATGTTGGAGACCTGACTCAACAAATCCAGCTGCGAAAGAAGCTCCAGTGCAAAAGTTTCCGGTGGTACCTGGAGAACGTCTACCCAGACCTGGAAGCTCCCCTGGTTAAAGCCAGCGGGCTGGTACGTGCCCAAGGACCCGCTGTCCTTCCTTCACACGGGCTCTCAGGGGCTGGCTGGGCCCTGGGCATCACCCCAGCACGCTGCTGCTGCACAGCTTCCCTGGCCTGGGGCAGCGTTTGGGATATCTGGTACAGCACAGAGGCTGGATTCCACCGTGGTTTTGTAAAGAAACAGGTCACGGATACAAGGGGGAATTTCCCGCCGGAGACCCGGTTTGGTGTTTGACCAGTGGAGCTGCTCTCGAGGCAGTGCTGGGACAGGATGTGCCTGTGGGCAAGATGAGCCTCCGGGGGCAGAACGCGCCCCGGGGCGGGATGTGCTCCCGGGCCGGGATGTGCCTGCGGCACAGGATGTGCCCGCGGGGCAGGATCTTCCCGGGGGCGGGATGTGCCCCGGGGTCGAGAAGTCCCTCCGTGGCGGGAGGTCCCGCACCGCCCGGTGGTCCCGGGGGATCCCTCCCTGCCTCCCTCCGTCCGTGCCCGCCCGCTGGGGTGCGGGTGTGCACCGCAGCCCGCAGCCGGCAGAGCGCAGCAGCCGCCCGCCTTACCGGGACTGCGCGGGGGCCGGGGAGCCGGCACTGCTCTGGGCTCGGAACATGCACCTCGGGGCGGGCTGGGGGGCGGGCTGGGGGCAGAAAACACCTTAAAGGCTGTTCTGGATTCAGTCCTGCCTCCACGAGCCCCTTGCTGGGCAGCTGGTAGGCAGAACAGGGACAGGTTCCCTTCCTACACCACAGAATCCCGGAATGGTTTGGGTGGGAAGGGACATTAAAGCTCATCTCATTCCCTCCCCCTGCCATGGGTAGGGACACCTTCCACTAGCCCAGGTTGCTCCAAGCCCTTCCCAGCCTGGCCTTGGACACTTCTCTGCCTCGCATAGTGACATGGGCAGTTATTAATGACAGTCCTGAATCCAGCAGGTTAAGTGCAGTGTAACAGCCTGTCCCCTGCCTTGGGAATTTATGTCTACATCTGCATTTTGTTGCTGTTTTCCAGCTCGTTAACGTGGCCCTGGCAGGATGTGTCGCTGTGGAAGGCCCCACTCTGGCTTTTGAGGAGTGTGATGTGAACAACACGGTAAGGACCCCCTGCACAGGACCGTGTCACACTGCTTGGAGCACATGGCACAGAGTCCCTGTGCCTCCTGTGCTGACCTGCTCCCTCCCCGGGAGCTGATATAGTGCTTCCCACCTGGGAACATGGCCAGGCAATGCCTGGGAGCAGCAAGGGGCAGGAATTGCCTGTTGGCACAGCCTGTAGCCACCAACAACCCCTGAGCCAGCAAATTCGACTGGAACAGGAAAGTCTGATGAATCCATGAGCCTGCACATGAAACATTTAAATATCAGCTTGTGCTTTGTGTGCTGCTGCAAAACATCCAGCTGCACTCTGGGCTAGATGGGAAGCAGCCACTGTGGCCAGTCTTTCCCATCCTTAGAGCCCTTTCCACTGTGTAAAGGGGCTCCAAGAGAGCTGGACAAGGGCCTGGAGGGACAGGACGAGGGGGAATGGCTTCCCACTGCCAGAGGGCAGGGTTAGATGGGATATTGGGAAGGAATTCCTGGTTGTAAGGGTGGCAAGGCCCTCGCTCAGGTTGCCCACAGAAGCTGTGGCTGCCCCTGGATCCCTGGAAGTGTCCAAGGCCAGGTTGGATGGGGCTTGGAGCAAGCTGGGCTGGTGGAAGGTGTCCCAGCCCATGGCAGGGGGGTGGAACGAAATGAGCTTTGGGGTCCCTTTCAGTCTCATCTGGGATTCTGTCATTCCTTCCTAGACAGTGTTTTTAGGCAATTTCTGGCTGATTGCTCCCTGCTCTGGCACAGGCCAGCATGTTGAGGGGGGCTGTCTCATTTGGGGATGTATCCCTCTGTGCCCCAGTGCTGGGAGCAGCCAGGGGAGGTGGCAGGGCAGAGGGGCAGGCAGCAGTGGGGGTGAGGGGTCTGTGTGGCTGCAGCAGGAGTCACTCCCAGAGCTGATGCTGGGGCTGTCCTGATCTTTTTAGCCCTTCACATCCACAGGACAGGTGTTCCCATGGCTCGTGGCTTTCCTCAGCCCTGGTCCTGGGCGAGGGCAGGGGCAGGCGAGCAGCTGCTCTCCCAGCTCTGGCCGTACCCTTGGGGGGCCTGGTGGGGTCACAGCTCTGCCCGCTCTCTCCCCACAGAACCAGCACTTCAACTACACCTGGCTGAGGCTGATCCAGCACGGGGAGCTCTGCCTCGCCCCCTCAGGTGTCCTGGGGACCCTGGGCCTGCGCCGCTGCCAGGGCAGGAGCCGCAGCCTGGCCTGGCTCCACAGGTCCCTGGCCACCGTCCGGCCGGGGCTGGTGAGTGACGCTCTGTCCTGGGGAGGGTCACTGAGCCGGGCACGGCGATGGGCACTGACAGCCCAGCATGGGGGGCACCCTGGCCCTCTGGTCCCTGCTTTGCCAAAGCCTCCTGTCCCCCTGAGCTGGTCCCTGGCACCCCTGCCATTCCTCGGGCCCCTGTGCCAGTCCAAGGGATGAGCACCCCCACACCGTGTGCCGGGCTGGGGGCACGCTGGCACTGCCTCCACAGCAGTAACAAAACGTCCTGGTTTTACATGGAAACTGTCGATAGCACTTACAGGGAGATGACTCAGTATTGATTGGCTCTCAGCTCACGGTGGGTTTTAAAGAAAGCATCTATGGAACGGAAAAGAATGGATCTGGTGTTAATTGCCTGCACTGCACAAAGAGTCACGGCTGTATCTCTGTCAGGAGTTGTCCAAAACGCTCTGAAATGACATAGTTTGTAGTTAAGAAAGAAACACTCTTCATTTAAGAAACAAAAACTGTAGCTGAGTTACACAAGGTATCGACAAGTTCCTGTGTTCAAAGCCGGAATGTCACAGGCTCACCTTGGGTGTTTGGGGAAAAATACAGGAAAATTGTCATCCACTTACTGAAAATTGTGAAATTGTCATTTCGCTTTGTGAAAAATATGCGAACATGTCCAGGCAGCTGTGTGGGGCACAGACAGGACTTGTCTCCTGTTCCAGCCTGGGTTCACCTTGAGCCGTGGGTGAGATGGATTTGGTGGTTCCATTTCGGTTGTGCCAGCAATAGGAGCCTGAGGGGAGCTCAGTGGCTGCTGGTGAAGGAGTCTTGGTGCTTTACCCTCTCCTGACATCAGTCATTGTGTTGTTTAATGATGTGAAGTGCAGTTACTGTCTGCACAAAGATCCAGCTTCTGCCCAGACCCCACTCTACACATCACGTCAGGAGTGTTTCATTTTGGTGTTAATGAGCTGATCCTGAGAGTCACTGCAGTGCCAGGCAGTGACAGTGTCCCTTGCCTGTGGCAGCACCTACAGCATCACTTGGCTGGCCATGGGGGTAGGTAGGTAAATCCAAGTAGATGCGAAGAACTAAAGGATGGAGATCACTCAGACTCTTAATTCTTTCACAATCCAATGTACTGCCCCAGCATTTGAATTACCTGACATCTTTTTCAGCACAGTAACTGTGCTTTGAGTTCATCAGCTAACAAACTGCACAATACAAAAATCCACCTCCTGCTGTACATTCCCCGTGTAGCAAATGCCATCAGAGTGATTCCGTTTGGCACACTGACAATGAGAGAGCTCATCTCTCCATTCCCAGTGAAGGAAAAGCCAGAAAGCACAGCAGGTGTGCTGTGATCCTGGCTCAGCAACAGGTGCAGGATTGGATCCTGCCTCACAGTCTCTGTAAGTCAGCAGAGGTCTCACATATTAGGGACATGCCAAAAAAGGGCACACCATAAGGAATAGGTTGGACTCGATGATCTCAGAGGTCTTTTCCAACTTAATTGATTCTGTGATTCTGTGATTCTGTAAACCAAGCTTTCTTGGTAAGCAAATTGAGCTGATGCTGCAGGGCACTGGAGCCTGAGCCCCCCTAAGCCTTGTTTCTCTCCCCTGCAGAGCGACCACATCATCTCCGAGCACCAGCACCTCCCGCAGCCGTCTTGCTTGGAAGTGGATCCCTCTTACAAAGCCCTGAGGGTGAAGGCCTGTGACTCCACAAACCCTTATCAGAAGTGGCAGTTTGGCAATTACCATGTGGACTGAAGGGAGCCCAGTTGCACCAGGACTGCTGTGGTTCCAGCTGTGAGCTCAGCGAGGGCACACAGCTACCAAAGGGGAAGTGCCTTTCCAGGTGACAGTGGAAATCCGTGATTTAATACCAGCGTATGGAGGGATCAGAACACCAAGAGCAGCACCTCGGGTTTGACAGTGCCTGAACAGATCAGCCCCGTACTCCCTCACTGTGGGAGACTTTGGCAAAAACTCACTTTCTGTATTATTAAATGGAAATATTTTTTGAAGTCCCCATCCTACCGTGAGCAAACATCCCTCAGTTCCCCCTGACAGCAGCATAAGCTGCAGAAATACTTCCAGGTAAGTCTGTAAGCAGCAAAGTGGGCTGCTTATTCCTCTCCAGAAAATGGAAGTTTATTGATCAGCACATCAAAGGAATCCATCGTGGTGCCCACACTGGGTCCAGCCACAGGCTCCCACCCTGGGGGACCCGCTGGCTGACAGGTGAGGACCAGAGCTCTGTGAGGAATTGATGGTGTATCCATAAAGCCACTTTTAATAGCGGGAGGTGAATGTTGATGGGGTTACCCAGGGGCTGTGGCAGAAGCTTGGAGCAGGCCCTGCCCGTGCCATGGGGACAGTGAGGGTGCACGTGTGCCTGGCTCTGCTTGGCAGAGAGAGGAGCTGCTGGAGGGGGGATCCAAAGGTTTATCCTGCTTCTTGCCAGTGGCACACAGCAGTGGCCAGCCAGGGAGCTCCTCACTCCAGGTGGCCAGGCTGTCCCACCCTGGGGCTGCCAGCACCACAGTCATGTCCCCAAGCCCCTGTGGCTTTTTGGGGGCTCCCCACAAGCACTGGCACTTCCCTCAGCCCAAGCTGCCTGGCATGGCCAGGATCTGCCCACCAAACTGCCTCTGAACCCACTGTCACGGGCAGGTTTTGTCCTTACTGTGAAACTCCTGATCTCCAAAAGCCATCACCAGTCATTGATGGGACAGATTTGAGGGGAGAATAAATTCTGTGTGCCAGGGCAGTGAGATCCAGGGTATGTAACACCTGGGCATCCCAGGCAGGGTTTCTCCCCCTGTTCCCATTGGGAATTCCCGCTGTGGGAGGCTGCTCCCTGTACTGCTGTGGTGTCATGGGGGGAGGCAGCACTTCTCCTCCTGCCCCCTGCCCTGTGCTGAGGTGAGGGGCTGCTCCAGCACAAGCCCTCGGGGTACCCAGGGCTGAGCATTGCACTGGCTGCTCACAGCACTGTGACCATGACCGAGCCTCTGCTGTCCCACCTCACACACCCCCGTACCTCTCCTTTGGTTCTTCAGAAGGCCACGGCATATTGTTGCCTCTGATGTGGTGGATCAGTGCTGACAGCATCTGACAGGCTCAGTCTGCCAAAATATTGACTGGCCCAACAGATTTTCCCAGTTGACTCCTTTTGCAACTGTCTTCCCGATTTTCTCTCCCTCCTTCAGCGCAGCTAGCCCGCAGTCACTATCAGAAAAATGACACAGACGACGTTTGGGCAGTCAGCTCGTATCAGGAGCATGAATTTCATCAGATTCTGTTTGCTGACATTCAATCACTTGTCACCGAGCAGGCACCAGGCAGTCGTATGTCACGGTCACATCCCATCGCCAGCCCTGTCACTCGCACGCCGGGGCCCCGCTTGTGTAAATGCTCACTTCCATGCTGGATCTGTGCTCCAGGACTGGAGGGTGCCTCGGGGCTGCTGGCAGTGAGCTGGGGCCGTGCTGTTGCTCAGCACTGGGAATGTTCCGATGGCACCAGTCAGCCCAGTCTTCCAGAAACAAGAGCATTTTTCCGGCAGGCTCGGCAGCCTGGTGAGGGGTGTCGGTCCTGCTGCTCCCCACGAGCTGCTCCCGCCATCCCCACGGACACACCGGGGTGTGCGTCGCTCCTCGGGGCACTCAGAGCCTGGGCTGTGTGAGCAGGGAGGTCAGGGAGGAAGGCACCACAGCTGGAGAACCACTGCTTGGGGTGGGGATGGAAGCCCCTGATGTCCCTTGTGTCAGCGATGGGAAACAGGCACAGCTTTTCCAGAGGAGAGCAAATGCCTCTGGAGCTGTGGTGGGGAGGGACACAGCACATCATGCTGTGCTTCCATCACTGAGTGCCCTGAATCCAAGTGGTCACAGTGGGAGGCCCCATTTGGTATACTCAAAAAAAAAAAAGGGTTCAAAAAGAGGCAATAAATGATAATAGGTGAAGCTGCTTCCTCTGAGTGCAGTGAGTTAACTGACCAACATGGACCCTCTCTGGGGACTCCTGCCCGAGTTACTGCCAGGCTGAACCACAAAGCCTCACCCCAGAAAGAACCCTCAGAGCTCCAATTCCCCCGATTTTTGGCCGTGGTGGATCCCAGGGCAGGGCAGGGCAGTAGTCCAGCTGGCTGCTGCACCCACAGCTGCTGCAGCTTGTGGTATCTGGCATCAACACCCTCCATAAGGCTCCAGCTCTTACCTGCCGTCAGCCCACACTTGAAACAGTGGAAACACAGAGAAAGGATTCTCAGGCTGAGCTGGGGCTGTGACTGCCATGCCCTAATCAGCCTGAAAATGCCTCTGCTCCAAGGGACAAGTTTCCAGATCTCCAGGTGTCCCTTTACCTCACATGCCATACAGGCACCTCCCTGCCTGGCTGCTCCGTGCGCCCCATGGCATGGGTTGCACTGACCACGGTGATGGCCACAGGGCAAGCAGCCCACCTCTGCCTCTTCATTACCTGTGAACCCCTTGCTGTCCACCCCACAGTCACCCACCCGAAGGGTCTGTCAAGGGGAGCTGCTTGTGGGAAAGGCCCTCAGGCCCCTAGAGCATCCCAGCACTTTTAATTTTATTTCTCCAGTTACTCAGGAAAGCAGGAGAGGGCGTTGCAGCTCTCAGCTGAGCAAGTGCTGCTTTGCAAGGAAGGTAAAAAGTGAGTCCCAGGTCACTGAAAGTCTCAGGGAGCCTTTCCCACTGAAAGGTCTGGAAATGGTCTTAAAGAATGATAGATTCACAGAATGGTTTGGGTTGAAAGTTCATCTTGTTTCATCCCCTGCCATGGGCAGGGACATCTTCCACTAGACCAGGTTGCTCCCAGCCCCGTCCAGCCTGGCCCTGGTTGGAATTACCATGACCACGTCTTTAAGAGGGATGTGTCACCCCCAGAGCAGCCCAGGGCAGCTGTCAGTGGGAACAGACCCACAGTATAAGTTGGTACAAGCAAAGCTCAGAACTTCCCCAGGCCAAGGAGCAAACAAACAAGTGTGAATGGCACAATGAGGGCTGTGTCTGCTGGCACAATGCAGAATTGCCGTGTATTATTTTCACGTTGCCAATAAATAATTGCCTTTATGTAGAACAAGAAGAATCAAAACGATATTCAGTGCTGCTGGAGATGTAAAACTAATCCTTAAAAAGGCACTTATGGCTGCAGGAGGCCTCTGTATAACTCTGTCCTTACCTCCTCTCCCTTGCCAGCTGTTCTCAGCTTTCCCAAATGCTTTCTGGGATGACAATTGCAAAGCTAAGTCCCAACTCCAGACAAATCTGGCTGTAAAACAGTAAAAAAAAAAGATTACAACAACTGTATGGTGGTTACACAAAGGTCTTTGAAAATGGAGAAGGGTTGTGTTCAAATTAGACAAAAATTATGGTTAAAACTTGCCTGGCTTTCACAAAACAATCTTTAATTTTGCATCTGAACTTAGTCGAGAAGAGACATAAGAGAGTCTGACCTGGTGGCACTGGGAAAATAGAGGTTCCTGGCAGTGGCCAGGTTTGCCAGAGGCACACCGAGGCACACACAGGGATGTGCTGGGTGAGCTGCTGCCCCCGGGGCTGGTCCAGACCCCAGCTCTGTGCTGGAGATGGCACTGGTCACCAGTACAGCCCCCCCGCCCCAGGCTGCCCCTGGGCTGGGTGAGGGTCCTCAGCCAGGGCTGGGGGCTGCCACAGCGAGGAGGGCAGGGGGGGAAGAGGAGCCCAGTGTGTCTGACTGCACTGCAGTCACTGTCCCCCCAGGACAGGCGGGATGGCAGCTGGTGAGCCTGGCAGTGCCCACGGTGTGGACAGGCAGGCAACCCCACATCATGCTGACACCTCTGACCTCATGTGTGCCAGACCTACCTGGTGCTGACAGTCACACCACGGGAGGTGTGAGGGGCAGCAGGGAGGGTTCAGGGTCCTCGGTGCCTTCTCATCTTCATTCCCACACCGGCATCTGCCCGGGATGCCAGTCCATCCCTGCAGCACGAGGTGGGCACGGACAGTGGCTGTCAGGGCACTGTCAAGCACCAGCACGGATGCACAGCAGAATGGGGGGATTGCCAAGAGTTGTCTCTTACTGTTCCCCAGCCCTGGCCAGTGCCACCCACTGCCAGCTCATTAGGGCGAGCTGACGGCACAGGACACGTGCGCGTGGGCAACCAGAGGAGCCCCGGCCAGTTCGGGCCGGCCCGTGGTCTGAACACGGTTATGAAGTTGAAGAGAAAATAAGAGGATAACCTTAAAATCAAATGGGTTTGTATTTAGCAAACTGATTATTTATTTTCCTGCACTATAGACACCTCTGCCCCTGTCAAAGCCAAGATGTTAAATTTTCACAGTGTATTATAAATCACGTACAAAAAGGAGAAAAGCAGTGACCTCACGTTGTGTGAAGAGACATGTCTTGGGGGAACTAAATAAACCCAAACCCGGAGGGAAGGCTTGGTGCACTGGGCAATTCCCCCTCAGTTCATAAGTGCATCATGGATTCAAACTCATCGATCCGCTGTTTGGTGTTTCCTTTCCGGATCCTCCGGTAGGAGATTGTGTTGTATCTGGAATAGCTGTGTCTGGAGATGTCATTCTTTTTGCCCAGGCTGGGCTGCTCCCCGGGTTTCTCCAGCGGGGAGTTGCAGCCAGGGCTGGCAGGGGCAGACGGCTCCTTGCAGCTGTCCCGCTGCTGCAGGCGGGACGCCTCGCTGTCCTCCTTCTTGATTTCGATCACCTGAACCTCGTCCTCCTCGGTGTCCTCCTCCTCTGCATCCTCCGCATCCTCCTCGGCCACGTCCCCTCTGGGATCAGCCCTGG